TGTGATTGTACTAATTTGACTTCAATTGGACTAATTTGACTTCAATATGACTAATTTGACTTCATTTGGACTAATTCGAGGTCGATTACACTATAATTGACCGAGATTGTACTAATTTGACTTAAATTGGACTAATTTGACTTCAATTGGACTATGATTGACCGAGATTGTACTAATTTGACTTCAATTGGACTAATATGACTTTATTTGGACTATAATTGACCGAGATTGTACTAATTCGAGGTCGATTACACTATAATTGACCGAGATTGTACTAATTCGACTTCAATTGGACTAATTCGAGTTCGATTACACTATAATTGACCGAGATTGCACTAATTCGACTTCAATTGGACTAATTCAAGGTCGATTACACTATAATTGACCGAGATTGTACTAATTCGACTTCAATCGAACTCGAATTAGTCCAATTGGATTCGAGTTCGATTGAAGTCGAATTAGTAGAATCTCGGTCAATTATAGTGTAATCGACCTTGAATTAGTCCAATTGAAGTTAAATTAGTACAATCTCGATCAATTATAGTGTAATCGAACTCGAATTAGTCCAATTGAAATCGAATTAGTACAATCTCGGTCAATTATAGTGTAATCGACCTCGAATTAGTCCAATTGAAGTCAAATTAGTACAATCTCGGTCTATTATAGTGTAATCGAACTCGAATTAGTGCAATTGAAGTCAAATTAGTACAATCTCGGTCAATTATAGTGTAATCGAACTCGAATTAGTCCAATTGAAGTCAAATTAGTACAATCTCGGTCAATTATAGTGTAATCGACCTCGAATTAGTGCAATTGAAGTCAAATTAGTACAATCTCGGTCTATTATAGTGTAATCAAACTCGAATTAGTGCAATTGAAGTCAAATTAGTACAATCTCGGTCAATTATAGTGTAATCGAACTCGAATTAGTCCAATTGAAGTCAAATTAGAACAATCTCGGTCAATTATAGTGTAATCGACCTCGATTTAGTCCAATTGAAATCAAATTAGTACAATCTCGGTCAATTATACTGTAATCGAACTCGAATTAGTC